CAAATGAAAAATATCATTATTTTGTAAAATAGTCCAAAACATGAAAATGTGAACACATGAGTTTTGACATTTTAGCTTAACCATGTTTTAAAACATTACAAAATGATTTTTTAGACTTAATAAAAGATGTATATGATTATTGTTAAGTCTATAAACCAAGAAAACAATATTTTCACAAATATAATAGAAAATAAAACATATGAGTATGTATATGAAAATACATTTGTTTCATATCTAAGTAGTTAAACCAAATCACAAAAATGAATATGAAATATGTAATTTCATATTTATAAACATGAAAGCCAAAACTTGTGTTGTATATATATATGACTACATATATATACAAAGAAACCAATAAAATGTGTGTGTATATGATATTGAGCTTAACGTACTTAACACATATAATATAACACCTTAACTAAATTACCCAAGCTTGATCTTGATCTTCAATAAGCTTGACTTGATACACTTGTGGAAGAAGCTTGAACTTGTATCTTTAACTTGAATGTACATTGCTTCACTCCACTATTCCGCGAACCTCCATTGGATATGATCGTGAATGTTCGATTCCATCCATCCTCCAACTTGTTGTTTGTCTAAAATAAATAGAAATACACAAACACTAGACAAACAACATTAATAGTAAATTATTTGTTAAACATCATCAAAACAATAAGGCCAACAGATGACGCATAGGTGGACGACGACTTGAAGGGGGAGGAGGATGAGAGAGCAAAGGGTCTATGGTCTGTCTTTAGACGGCAAATGGGGGTCTTTAAAATTCTTGGAAGGCGAGGGGGGATTTTTACTAATCGATGACGGCAAGGGTGGTCTTTAACGGTGGTCGTAGGCGAGTCTTGTCGCTCTTCGTTCATCGGCACAGGTTCCTGCTCTTGCAGCGGCGGAGGCGGATGGTCAACAACTTCGAATTCATTGTTTTTTATTAATGAAGTTGGGGAATCTGGGTTTGCCGTCGATTTTTGAACCATTTTCTGCCAATTGTGACAAAACCCTAGAGTGGAGGTCGAGTGGAGATTTGGGGATTTTGCCAGTTATAGTTAACTATAGAGAGGGAGAGAGACAGAGTGTGGGAGGGAGAGAGGAGAGAGAGAGAGAGAGAGAGAGAGAGAGAGAGACTTGATTTGAGTTAAAGAGCGAGCGGACGCGGTTACCAAAATCAGGGCACTGTAGCGATACCGGTTAGGGGTAGAATAGGGTTTTAAAAAATATTCTCTCAAGTTGCCGAGTTGGTGGGGCTGAAATGAAATTTTATAATGTATCTTGGATTTATACACATGGGCAAAAGTACAAGTGGCTAGTGCACTTGACTTTTTAGATTTGGGGCCTTGAAGCAATTTTTCCTTAAAAAAAGAGTTGTTTGTCTTAAGGCCCATTGACTTACCTTGTTTTATCTTTAAGCCCAACTACTTTGTTTTATAACTTTAAACCCAACCATCTTTATATATTTATCTCTAAGCCTAAATTCTTAAATATAATACATAAGTTAGTGGGGCCCCATTAAACTTTTCTACAAAATTCAATTTACCCACCAATATTATTTACTCTCTTCTTTCATTCTTTAACTTCCATGAACCCATTAATTATTCCTCAACTCTATTAATTCATATTTGGTTGCTCAATTTTGGTAGAGATTTATTACTTTTTTGATACTTTAAGGTATAATTTTTGTTTGTTACTCAACTTCTAAATTTATAGCATTAATTTTGTATTTTCTTTATAAAAATTATTTCCCATTATTATTCATGAATCCTCATAGTTGTTTATTATAGTTAATACAAAAAATTCGTACTAAAAAAATCAAAATGTTAATTTTAATTCTAGTATTAGATTTAATTTCAGAATTACGATTCTAATTTCATAATTTTAATTTCAATTTGTTGTGAGACCAAATTTCATAGTTAAATATGGTCTAAGTGGACTATCTTTGATAAAAACTTGTGTATTTTTATTTATTTATTGTGACAAATAGATATGAATGAAGATTTGTACTGTATTTTCACTAAAACCTGCTATAATTTCACAAAACGGGTTATACTTACAAAAATATATGCTATACTTTCACCAAAATATGCTACACTTAAAGAAAAGTCTGTTGTACTTGTAGTAAGACATGATATACTTACGGAAAAAGCTACTATAGTTTCACCAAAGTCTATTATACTTACGGAAAAAGCTACTATAGTTTCACCAAAGTCTATTATACTTACAGAAAATTTTACTATACTTACAGAACAACCTCACTTTCACCAAAATGTGTTATATTTATAGAAAAAATTGCTATATTTGCAAAACAAAACTTGCTATACTTTCACCAAGATGTGCTAAACTTATAGAAAAATATGTTGCACTTACAGGAAAACTTGCTATACTTTAACCAAAACTTGATATACTTGCAAACTGTTAAACGTATAGTGGGATTTGGTGAAAGTATAACTTGTTTTGGTGAAAGTATAGCACAAACTTTTTTTCATCTCTGTTTGTCACAATAAATAAATAAAATGTGCAAATTTAATGAAAGATAGTCAACTTAAACCAAAGTGAATTAACTATATAATTTGGTCTCACAATAAATTAAAAGAAAGCGTAATTCTGAAATTACATCATAATTCTAAAATTAAATCTAATTATGAACATCTTGATTTTTTTAGTATTACTTTTTCATATTAATGTAATAAACAATGAGGATTCATGAATAATAATATGAAATAATTTTGATGAAGAAAATAAGAAATTAATGCTATAAATTTAGAAGTTGAGTAAAGGATGAAAATTATACATTAAAATACAAAAAAAAGTGAGGAATCTCAACTAAAATTAAGCAATCAAACCCTATGCATTAATTGGGATTTTTAGAAAAGTACAAGGGGGTCCACTAACTTCTATATTGTATTTGAGAATTTGGACTTAGAGATAAATATACAATGATGCTTGGGTTCAAAGATACAAAACACAGTAGTCGGGTTTAAAGATAAAACAAGGTAAACCATTGGGCCTTAAGGCAAAAAATCATAATAAAAATCACACTGTTTTTTTTTTTTTTGGAAGAAATATGGAGACTTAGAGGTGTTTCACACAAAAATTTAAAAAAGAACTAAGATTCCCTTGCTCGAATTTCACCTTTACTCAGAGAATGAAGTTACATTAAAGAGTGTCAGAACCCGTAAATAGATCTAAGTGAAAAATAAAAAACCTTAAAGTTTAAGGCTACCTATATGATATCGAGAATTAAAAGGATGAGGTTTTCCAGATTGCCCAAGCAAAGATGTAGGATTTTACCCAATTATGAAATAATAAAATGGATGAGATTTTAACGTCATACAATAATATGGTGACAACTCATCTCATCTCATTTCTTACTTTTAAGAAGTGAACCAAAAACAAGAAAATTGAGGGTCTCAGGCTAGGATTTAACCTAATTATGAAATTTTAACTAGAAAACTAACATAGGAACAAGGGCAAATTTGCAAGACTCCATAGGATTCAAGGACTAATAAGCAATATTAAAGATTTGAGAGAAAAACATGGAATTACTTAAGACTTGTTGAGGGCCTAATATCTAAAAACCCTATTTAAAAAAATATATATTTCAGTAGGTGGAACTTTTTGAAAGTTCAAGAAGTTTTTGTAGATTTGTAAACCTCCCCAAAGTTCAAGGAGTTTTCTCTAATCTTTAAGACTCGGAGTAGTTTTGTGCTAATCACTCTAAAATTGAGGAGCATTTTCTAAAATTACCCTAAAATTAGATATATGATGGATAAAATATTATATTTTACACCACTCATGGAGGATCCTTTGAGGGCCCGTTTGGTTGGTTTCCTAAAAATCAAGAAAAGGAAATAGGTACAAGGAAATCAATAAAATAATATTTTTACCCATTTTCATCCCTAAAACTCACCCACAACATCTAATAAAATATTATTTTTATCTTCCAACTCATCTCATTTCATCTCCTTTCTTACATTTAAAAATAAACCAAACACAAGAAATGTGTCACATCATCCAACTCATCACAACTCATCTTATCCCATTTTTAAAAATCACACACATCATCCAATAATATTGTGACAACTCATCTCATCTCATTAAACATTCCTTTCCATCCATTTCCTCAAAAAAAAAACAAGAAATTGGTTTCCTTAAGTACGTGTCACATCATCCAATAATATACCTCCAACTCATCTCATCTCATCTATTTTCCTATTTTTAAAAACGAACCAAACACAAACAACCTCAAAACATCATCCAATAATATACCTCCAATTCATTTCCTTATTTTTTTAACCAACCAAACAACCTCAAAACAATTTTTTTTTAAAATCACTCACATCATCCAATAATAAGTTGACAACTCATCTTATCTTATCTCCTATTCTACAATTTCTTTCTTTTTTAAACCAACCAAACAACATCAAAACAAATATTATAGAAAATAGGTTTCCTATTCTTTGATTTCCCAAAAAAAATGGCCAAACAATCTTTATCCAAAAAATAGTTTTTAGTTTGACAATAACTGTGCCTAAGTAGTTTTCTCTCGTCCAAATTTAAGCTTCTAAACTGGTTTTGTTTTGAGCCACCTCTAATATGGATCAACTCTTACCTAGTTAAGCAAAACTTAGTCCTATTTTGGAGTAGGCAAACACACCGTTAGTCAAATATAGGTCCCCTCTAAACATCCCATATAAGAGCACGATGTTCTGAGCCATATAAACTATAAAGGAACAGTAAATGTCTAGACTGCTCTGTCATGCAAACAAGTGGAACAGGTGCGGTGTTCTGTTAGAATTTGTACTCATCTGAATGTGATATAAACTCTTTGCGCCATACCTTACATTTGAGAAATAAGTTCTTCAGTTAAGTGGCACACTACAGTCAAGGAGACAAGATATCCATAATATCTTGATTAATAATTTCAATATTAATGGCATTCGGATAATGTTAAAAATTGTTTCTTCTTACAACAGCTTGGATGCAGATCTCACTGATACAAAATGACAAATATATGGGATACAAAATGTTCTCAATCTGTACATTGTTGTCCTCGGACATACAGAAAATGACTTTCTGAAAGATCAATTGATCAAGAGAATAAATAAACAACAAATACATTTCAAATATACAACATATTTGGATTTCATACATACAACAATCGAATAACCTTCGCTTTCTTGTGATGTCCACTGTAATTTAGCTCTATACATTTATGAGGTTACACTTTATTCAAAAATTTTAATCGAAGTAGTGCAAGCCCATAAGAATTCCATGTGATTTTACCTCACATTTGAGGTAAATACCAACGGGAGAAAAATGGATGAAATATTCCTCATGAGAATGTGATTTCACATTTAAGGTAAATACCTGCGAAAAAATGGATGAAATATTCCTCATTAGAATGTTCATCATATGATCTCCAGCAACTAGTAAAAGCAGAACAAGCTTGTCATATGCTACTAAATAGACATCTAGGTTTAGGTAAATAACAGAGCTAGCATAAGGATTAATGTTGGAGACAAGATTTTATGGACGCTTCTTAGATTTCAAGATAAACAAAGATGATAATGGTGATTTAGCATCTAGGACAAACAATCTAGTGTCATCAAGGAACTCCTTTGGTTATAAGAATGTATATTGGTAACTAATTATTGACCTTTTGATTTATTATTTCATTAATAAAAGGTTCAACCAGTTGAAGGAATGATAAAACAATAATAAGCAGACTGGAAAGTCATGCAGTGTGTCATTTAACAGATGAAGCAGAACAGAGAAATATGATGTTTGGTCAACAGATGACAGCTTTTTCATAGCTATTAAAGTTGCTTGGCTGAGTAGCTACCCTAATAATCGTAAGCAAATAAGAAATCAATCACTTCGAACTTTAGCTGCATCTGTTATCAAGTTATTGCTCTTAAGGTGGATGGGAAAATTTATAGCCTTAAGTTGTTAGATCATTCGATTGGTGAGGGTTCAATTTAAGTGCATTTTCTTTTTCACGTTGTTAAAGGACTAGCTCTATTGGCTGGTTTACTGTCAAATAATCAACCGGTATCAGAATCATGAGATTTTCAACCACTCTTTTTTTGAGTGTCGTACGCACAACAGAAAAAACCATAGAAGCAACTATAGATGAAACGAAGATTTCAAGGTTTTCATGATTTTTGTTAAGGACCTAAGGTTAATGATGTCTTCCTTTGTTTACCTCCAAAATAACAATTTCGCAGTAGTCTTAAGTGCTCTTCCTGAGCGAAGATATGGAGCAGATGCCAATTGAAGCACATAAGCTCAAATCCTAAAAATTATCAAATTATGTATGACTATTCACTATTGCAACAACAACCTTTTGTTATGAAGCACATGAAATTTCACTTATGAAGCATAAGATGTAAACTTCTATTTGGGGGGAAAATTCCTCACACACATGACATCAGTTATGATTTATGAAGCATAAGATGCAAAACATTTGAAAGCGATGCAAAAAGAGACATCATTGTCCCTCTTAGCATGAATCCAAAAGCTAGATCTTTACCAATAATTATAATCGCTTTACCTGATTTTACACCTATAAGAGCTCAAGTAGATGATATTAACTAGTGAAACCCTACTAATCACATAACTACAAACACCAGACAGCTGAATCATAACTATAATCATTAACCATATAAACCAACTTCATGTACATATGAACCCAGACAGACAGCATAATCAAGTTATGTTTATGAAAAATAGGATGTTGAATTTCAGAAAAGTAAAATGAAAACATTAACTAGAATTTTCCATTTTACCTGACTTTATCCACACAAGAACTCAAGTAGTTAATATAAACTAGTGAATTCTACTTATTATGTAACTACAAACACCAGACAGCTGAAGTAACTATAATCATTAATCTTATTAACCAACTTTATCTACATATGAACCCAGATAGCATAATCAAGTGGTGTTTATGAAAGAATAGGAAGTTGAATTCAAGGAAAAATTCAGTCATAAACTAGATTTTTCCATGAGCAGTTATACAAAGAGATTCTACCTGTTACTTCTAAAACATGTTGCAGAGGATGATGTCATGTATCAGTATCCAATATGTCCTCATCAAGAATAACATATTTGGCAGCTCCATTGAAAGTTGAGTTCATTTCTCCATTTCCACTTTGGTGGCCTTTGTTTAATTTTTGGTACCTGAAAATTAGGGAAGAAAAATTATAGACAGAAACCTCATATCAAAACTTCTTTATGCATTAGACCCATAAAAGCAGTATTTTTCTGAAAGGACAAAACGCTATCCATAAGGACTCTAAAATTGAAACATAAGCATCACGTAAATAAATCTTGTGTCAGATGTAAAGAAGGTTTTAGACCCAAATATTAGCAACTATAAGCAATGACAAGGTAAGAAAATGCACTACTCATAAAACCACAGGAACGGCATATTGACTTACTTGTACCAGTTGAATAAACCAACCCCAACCATTATTGTGAAAAGCCCAGCTCCTTTCAACAAGGTGAACTGGTCATGGAAGTAGAAAACAGCAACCTGAAAAACTCTTGCATGAGTTTCTGGAAATCATACTTAATTTCTTGAATATGTAAATAGTTTCTTACCTACCATCCATCAATACTTAATTTAAAAGAAAAAGATGAAAACTTGTACTTGATTTTACTTCCAAAGGAAAAGTTCCACTCTTTAAAGTGTATGAGCCTATGAGGTGGACCCTTCGGGAAAAAAAGCAAACACAAGAATGGTTATGGATGTATAATGATAATCACAATCTAATAACCTGAAGAATTAAGTATTCCAATTAAGGTTCATAGAATTATTAACCTAATCCACTAGATGTAATCATGTAATCATCACCAAAAATCAATATACAACCAAAACACCAAAGGAGATGATACATTTATCAATGCTGTTGGCCAACTAAAACAAGAGCTGGTATATGCGTAAGACTCACAAAGGTAGGTAAGATTATTCAATAATTGCCCCATAACTATGAACCTGTTTTATATTCTAATAGTTGTTACAAAAAGAAGGATTTATGAATTATTTAAAAGTTTAAACAAATGACGTAGCACTCATCAAAACATGTCCATCGTACTCAACAGTTAATTTCTGATGATATACCATGCTCTATAACACTTCATGTGCCAACTTCAACTACCGGCCATTGTCCAACTGAGAATATACTTCAAAGACATTTTACAAATCTTATAATATAAAAAGTTCAGTGTTGATATTACAAAGTCCATACTTCTAACGTTATACTTTAAACAAAGGAAATTCGCATCTGACCCAAAATGATTTGTTTCATTGCATTAAACAAATTACTTTTATTACTCCATCTAAATCAATATAAATATTTCATTTGACCAAACAACTATTTAGATTTGCATATTTATATCCTTGTCTTATAGCATCTCAGGCAGAATGTTGCTCACACATGTGATGTTGATGCTTAAACTAGAATATGCAAGATTAGTCACCCAGCCAGTGAACTGGCAAGACGCCTAAGCCTCAACTTTTAAACTATCCCTATAAAATAGCCAAAATGCTTAAAATTTCAAATGGTGCAAGCTTAGAGAAAATTCAACATCAGAGAAAACAAAGTTTCTTCATGGTACCTAACTAATTATCCAATCATACAGCTGACGTACAAGTGCCATAGGTACAGTCCTCTGCAGTAGCAAAGTTACATGTATTAAGTTTATGGGCATTAAATTATCGTTTTCATAAAGTTCACGCAAAGTACATTTAAGTAAACATATTAATGTTTAAAATGAAATATGCCATCTGACTTCAAGCTTAGCAAGGTCTCTCTAATTCAGGCATCTTAGAATATGTTGAAATAATTGTTTCTAGTTTGAAACATATTTCTTTAGAAAGATCTTAAGTCATAGATGAGGTTTTATCATGCCCTTGATGATAAATTACAAGAAAACATAAGATATCATTATTAGTTTTGCGATAGAACATGTCTGTCGAGACATGTGTCAATATAAAATTTTCAGATGTAATGCATGAGATAACTAAAAGCAGCAATTTCTTTTGCAGAAGCATAAAGGTAAGCACGAGATGACCCTTATATAAATGAATAGAAAAGTAGGATTCATGTCGCCAACCTCTAAATTTTCGGATAAATGCTTTGTTGTTGTTGTAAACAGAAAGGAAGCATGAGAAGTTAGAAACATGCTAAGAAAGGAAAATTTACCAAAATAGTGACGGCTTCCTTGACAGTACCAGCAACCATTACTGTTATTGCACTAGTTGCTGAAACAAGAATATATTCAGTTAAAACCTGCAAAACAGATACGTGAAATTGGTTTAGCAAAAAGCCCAAAAAAAAGAGATAAATTGCTCATTAGTAACCTCAGCAGAAAAAAATGATTAATAAGCCAACTTCAGAAAGCAATGAATTTAACTCGTTACCAGAGTTTGCCATACTTTCTCACCATGAAAAATGCCAATGCTCCTCCCAGAAGCATTAGCAGGCAACTCCATATAATGTGAGTTGAACTATCAAAATATTTATTTTCGCTCAGATTATGCCAAGGATCTAGCACAAGTGAGCCAATTGCAGTAGTCACTGCCATTACGGGAGTGACATAGCTCATCAGAGTGATGGGATTCCTCAGACCTGCCAAGCATGTAACCAAATTAAATGAATTATCTGCATTTCTGTCTGGAGGATCTTTTCAAAGTTCCATGCCAGTGAGTCAATCTCCTATATTAGAGCTTTCAACACGTTCCAAATTTTATAAAGCCAACAAGACCAAGTTCTTTTTCTTTTGACCGAACAAGACTAAGTTCTTGATACAGGCCAACTAAACCAATAAGGGAATCGTCAACAGGTTAACTCAGTACTACTCTATGCTGAGACATGTATTGCTGACATGATTGAGTTATTGATATGAGTAGACAGGAAGTTTATAACCACGCTTAAACCATATGGTGCATTCAGTTTTTGCAATGAATTTAAAAGAAGCTGATATGCGTTGCTTACCATAAGACTCTTTCTTCATGCATCCAAATATCACATGTAAAGGAAAAGAAAAGTGACAACTTAGATGGGGAAGACAAGGATAATTTTTTTTGGTCTGAAGATCAATGTTGTCAATCAAATAATTTTGACCTACAGATATTGTAAAAGGTGTTACAAGCAGAAGTACATAACAAACCTGCAAAAGAATCTGAGTCATACACCACCTGAATCCTGACATAACGGCAGCAAGCATAACAAAAAGGAATCCCCAGAACTCAAATTGAGTCTCCTTGGTAACTGAGACATATGTCAATTGACCAACACATTTTTCATAAAAATAATATTAAATTATGTAAAAGTAAGAGCATGACTGCTGATGCGACAAATATACAGTATCCTACACGTAACAATTTCAGAAGCTCTCAAAGAATATATATCTATTTTACTAATGACATTATATAATTTTATCTTGGCTAAAGAAATAAATTAAGCAGTGATACGAAGTGTAATATATATGAAAAAGCAAGAAATACTAAATGGCAATACTAAGCATAACATATACTAATTCCACTTTTTCTTGCTGACATCCTTTATTCCAATGTCAAATTTCGGTAAGTTCATATGGTTTACATGTTTGTACTATGATCAAATCATCTCAGCTTATGGTTCTCTACTTATCCAACTCTAGAAGAAAACTACAATTGCCTCAACATTCATCACAACTGAATTTATTTTTCTTTGATTCAATCACATATACGCATCATATGATCTAAATCCAACAATCAGTAAAAGCATATTATGTGATATAAGTAACATAGTATTCAAATCAATTCTACTTTCTGTTAGATATCCTCATTAATCATGTTTTCCAGAATTCAGTTCTCAATCAGTTGATCCAGCATCTTTCTCGTGGATCATAATAGAGTCTAACATTTCAAGGACTCAGAATTTGTTCTAGAACTTACACCAATCAACAAAATCCTCTCTCTATCAGCTACATCCATTTCATTAAGTATATTTAGATTATATTATATCATATATGAATATCATCTGATATGGCATTCCGATATTTAATACATATCCCCAATATCTACAATCCGGTATGGGTTTTGGCTGTCTGATATTTCCCCTATATCTGATATTTAAAACTTTGGCTACATCGCGCTTGTATAAGACGATTCAATTGCTACACCATAAGCAGCCAACATTAATAGAAACAGAAAGCAATAATGTTGAATGAATTCAAAAGCTGCATAACTCAAATTTTAATAACTGAATAAACAATTAATATTAACATGAAGAAGCCAACCATCCAAGAGTTAAACAAGGTATCACACTAGAAAAGATAATAGGGGTTCTGAGTTATACTTAAATATGCACACAACATGTGTACACCGATGCAGATATAGCAAAACTTATATATTCATCGTGAGAAGCTAGCTAGAAGCAACATTGCAGATTAGGTCAAAATTTGCAGGACGGAAAACAAAACACGAACTTCCTCACCCAAAAATGGGAGGGAAATACTCATAATACTTGTCAAGTATAAGAATCAGAGGTTCATTTAGTAATCTGTACAAATAATTATTTATCTCAATTATTTCCTATAAATTTAATTAGGTAATAACAACACAGGAATGCGGTCAATTAGAAAATACCTGTTAAAAGAACTCCAACAGAGATGACTAATATGATACCTAGAAGCTTAATGCTTGGACTCTCCAGCCTGGGAAAGTGAGAGAAATTCTTTAAGATACTATAGAATAAAGATCAAACAGAAAAGTGACAAGTTAAATAAGACATGTTCGGTTTGGTCCCCAGATAACATTCTGCATCACAACTCAAGCTACGGCCCAACATAACGAATAACAGACCGAAACAGGATGGTCAAAGTTAATACAACTTGAGGGAAATAATAAACTAAACTACTATAACAACAATAAAAGAAAACATAATGCAAGTAATTGACCCGATAATTCGTTAGATAATCAGAATGTGAATGTGCATTATGTAATTGACTCCCTGAAAGAAACAACAGGCTAAAGATGTAACAATCGAGGGATTACTGAAAAGAATTGTTGGATATGGGGTTTAAATAGGATTGATTAATAGCTTCAGTAGATAGCTTTTGTTATTAAGTTAGCATTAGATGCACTTACATACAACTTAATTTTTCAGGTCAAAAGCTTTCCTGATATCTTATCTTATTGAAATTTTAGGCCACACACTAAGACTGAATTGTTTAAAGTTAATTACTCATTACAGTCTAAACGAAATGTTGACACATTGGAACTCACCTAAATGCAAAAGCAAACACCAGGAGGAATATTGGAGAAGCAGATTTACACTGCAAATAGGATGTAAAGATCAAAAAAAATCACGACGTATAAAAGAATATTAAATTCAACATTTAATTATATCTGACCATTGTCGCAAATGTCACTGATATGAACACAAGCGAAGCATTGCTGAGGTTTATATCCAATGCAGTTCCCAATGCCGTAGGCACAACTACAAAAATCAAATATCTAGTATAATCAAACTCACTACCAAATCCTTCACGATTCAAACTGGATACATTTCAAAAAATAGCTATACCTCTCATAAAATAATCCTTCCACGTCATCGTCGGGCCCCGACTGCTCTCACAACACCTCGACTGGAAACAAACAATGGCATTGGACAGCACAGCTTGCATCCCAAAATGGACGGTATTCATCATCAAAGGCAAGGGAAATTTTCCCAAATGATCGCCCAACAATGTCTTGTTATACCTACAACCAAAAAAAAACAAGCTGGTTATTTTTAGCAAATAAAAATTTACAAAAAAAATTAGTTAAATTGCAGATAGTGCAGCACTTACAGCGTCAAAAGAGTACTAAATGTATACCAAACAAGTATAAAGAACAGAGTTCTGAGTACTACTACAGCCGAAAACGAGCTCGAGGAATTCCCCAAAGAATCGAGCTTATCCATGGATTCGCTGGTGCGCAATCCGATGCCAATATCTAAAGCGGCGTAACCCTTGCCGATCCCGCTCCGCTGCCTGAACTCGTTGGATCTAGGGCTCTCTGACTCCGATTCAGATCGAAGCAGCGGGAGATCAAAACCCTCGGGTTCTTCCTTCTCTTCGGCGGCGGAGCTGGGCTCGACTGGGTGGAACGACGGTTCTTTCGGCAGCGCCGTCGCCGGAGGACTCGGGATCTGAAGCTGAGGTTCGTTTGATTCGGATTCCTCCATGAGAAGAGATTGGAAAGTTACGATATTTTTCGTGGACTGTTGACGGCGAGATTTCTTCGGCGGGAGAGAGGGTAGATTTTGGGAAGGGGGGGCTTGAAAATAGTCAAATAGAAAGAACTGGGATTATCAGGGGTTTGTTCTCAAGTTGCTGCTTGCGAGACTCGAGTTCAGTAGGTTCAACTACGACGACGTCAACGTCAGGCCTAATAACTCAAAATTTGCGTTTAATAAAGTCCACTGCTGTTATGTAAGAAAAAGCCAACTTTCCCCTGCGTGTGTCGAGAATTTAAAAAACTCAACTAACGTCCTCGACGATTTAGAATAGATTAAGACACTTTCGAAGGGCGAATTTGGAAATCAAAAAAAAAAAACCCTGACAAATTATCCAATGATTCATAACTGCATCACGCCGCAACTCCGTCCCAAGTCCTAACATCGCCGTTCGAAAAATCGAGTGAGAATTGTCTTCCCCGGTACCTCAATCCTTGGACGCAATTACTTGCTCATGACTAGGGCTGTCCATTTTACCCGCTGGTCCGCGCCCGATCGGCCGCCACAGCCCGGCCCGCGAAATCCGGGCCGCGGCCGGCGTTTCGCGGCCCGCGGTCCGGCGTTGCTCTCAGCGGCCCGCCCGCCCGACCCGGAACAGCTACCGGCGCCGGGCAACATTCGGGCGGGCACGCCGGGCCCGGAGCCCGCCCAGTTGGCAACGTACCACTCGTTGCACCAGTTGCCCGGAAATAAGCCGGGCCGGGCCGGCCCGGCCCGGCCACAACCGGTCACCAATGGTGACCGTTGTGGTTGTGAAAACGGGCCGGCGCCGGGTCGGGCTGGCCGGCCCTGCCAAGGCCACCAACGCGTCACCAAAAGTGCTGACCGTTATGGCCAAAACGCCGGGCGGGCCGGGCCGGCCATAAACGCGTCAGATTTGGCCTTTTGACCGTTTTGCCCCCAAAAACGGTCAAAAAACGGCTATTTTATGAGGTTATTTTGGTCTTTTGCCTAGGGGGCTGGTTCTATAAATAGAGGGGGATTTTCATTTGTTTTCTTCACACCAAAAACTCATCTCTTCTCTCTTATACTCTTATACTCTTATACTTTCTCTTATACTCTCTTATTTATACTTTCTAATCCTTTCATCAAATGGCTTCCGGATCTGATTATGAAGAGCAAAACATATCTCTTGATCCTGAAATGAGTCCTCCTGAAATGAGTCCTCCTGAAATGAGTCCTCCTACCGAAGTTAATCCCGAATCCGGTGGCGACGAATCTGCACCAAGAGCTCCAAAACGGCCAAGATCCGATGTGTGGAATTTTTACGAGAAGATCGACGTCACCAAGGATGAACACGGTAGGATCCTCACCCAGAAGGCTAAGTGTGCTTTGTGCGGCAAGATTTTTCAAGCTCATCATAAGAGCGGCACCAACCACCTCAAACGCCATTTAGATAAACACAACAAAGGCCAGCCTCCTCAAGGTGATATCCGACAATCCATGATTTCTCAATCCTCCTCTTCTGGTAGTCTCGGTAGTTGGAACTATGACGCTGCCAGAGCCAGGAAATGCGTAATCAGGTTTATCATTCTTAAAAACCTTCCTTTTAAATTAGTAGAAGATGATGAATTTGAAGATATGTTTAGAGATGGTTTTTATCCTGCATTTAAAAAATTTTCTCGTCAAACCTGCCAACGTGATATTTTAAATTAAAATATTATCAGCAAGAACAAGAAAAAATAATTTCTTATTTTAAAAATTTAAACTGTAAATTTTCTTTAACTTCTGATATTTGGACATCTAGAGCACAAACTGGATATTTATGTATCACAGCACACTGGATTGATGAAAATTGGCAAATGTTTAAAAGAGTTGTTTCTTTTATTGCAATTGAAGAGTCACATACTGGTGCTAATGTTACAAATTTAATAATTGATGAACTTCTGAAATTAGAAATTTCAGAAAGAATATTTTCTCTTTCACTAGATAATGCAAGTAATAATAATATAGCTGTTGATTTTATCAGATCATCTTTATCATTGCCATGTCATGGTGATCTTTTTCATATTAGGTGCATCTGTCATATTTTAAATTTAATTGTTCAAAGTGCATTTACTGAAATTAAACCCATGATAGAAAAGGTTAGAACAGTTGCTTACATGCATAGTGCTTCTGAACAAAGACTTAAAAGATGGAAACAATTTTGTAAAAGAAAAAATGTAAAGCCTAGACTAATTCCAAAAGATGTTGACCATAGGTGGAATTCCACATATGCAATGTTAAGTGTAGCAATAGAATATAAAGACATTATAACTGATTTTATAAACTATTATGCTTCTAGTTCTAGTTCTGGTAGCACTTATGGAATAACTGAAGATGAATGGACAGTTATATGTAATTTAAATGAAATGTTACAAGTTTTTTATGATGCTACCATGTTATTATCTGGCTGTTATTATCCAACCATTACTTTAGCTGCTTTACAAATTTTAAATATTCAAAATTTTTTTGATAAATATCGTTTGGATGCTACTTTTGGACCTATGGTTTTTGAAATGGAGAGCAAATTTAATAAGTATTTTAGGCCTATTCCTCATATTTTTGGTTTGGGGGTTCTTATTGATCCATGCTTGAAGGATATTGGCCTTCGAAGTTTGTTACAGTCATTGTATGGTGGACAGGTTATAGACTTAGATGATGGAACCACCCTGAATGCTACTACTCATCATTTACTTATTAGAAATTATTTTCAAACTTTATATGATGAGTATGCAGCTAGACATGGTGTAGCTGCACAACAGTCTGCAGCTTCGGTTTCTTCGAGCTCATCCCGAGCCCGAGGTAAAAGTGTAAGTTTTGATAGGTATGCAATGGTAGCCGAGCTAACTGGTGGATCTGGACTTGGATCGTCATCATCGGAGGTTTCTGAAATAGATGAATATTTTTCTGCTTCTTTAGTTAGATGTCAAGGAAATGCTTTAGATATTTTGCAATGGTGGAAAGTATATGGATCAGTTTCATATCCTATACTTTCCACCATGGTTCGTGACTTACTAACAGTGCAGGTTTCGACGGTAGCTTCGGAATCCGCCTTCAGCACAGCAGGTCGTTTGATCGACGATCACAGGACATGCTTGGATCCGTATACTGTACAAGCGGTGATGTGCCTACAAGATTGGTGGAGGTACGAGAAGCGAACGCAAGGCATCGATCGGATGGCTGGAATTGAAGATAAATTTGAAGAATTGGGACTAGCAGATAGATATAAAGAATAGATTGTAGTTTTTATATCTTAGCTTAAAATTTGTAAAGAATTATTTTTGAAATAATTGCAAATGATAGTGATATAGGTGAGTAGGTGCCAACCTAGTTGGGATTTACTTATCTATTGTGATGCGATTAATTCCAAAATAAATTTGTACTTGTAATTTGTAACTGATTTATCAATTATTAATAAAGAATTTGTTTTTATCATTTTTTATTTGTAATTTATGTCATTTTAAGTAATTAATAAAATTATTGTTTTTATTATTTTTCTTATCTTTTTTATAATTTAAAATTTAAATAAAATTGAAAAATTTTGGGGAAAAAAATAAAAAAAAAAGAAAATCAACCGGGCCAGCCCAGAACCCGGCCCGATCGGGCCCGGGCCCGGGCCCGGACCAGGCCTAGTGTACCCGGGTCCGGGTCCGGACCTGGCCCGGTGTACCCGGGTCCGGGTCCGGGTACCGGTTTTGCCCGGCCCGGATGGACAGGCCTACTCATGACACTCCTCTGCGAGAATGAAATCCAAGAGTTATGCTGCCAAAGATTCAAGAATGATTCTATACGTGGTGGAGGCGGTCAAAGAACTTTTGAGCAAGTTCAAGGACTTCAGAATTGCCCAAAGTCCCCCGCGCCATCAATGCTCGGGCAGACGCCTTATCTAAGCTCGGGTCGTCCAGCACATGGAGTAGTTCGGGACCTGTGTACACCGCCACCCTCAAGAACCCAAGCATCAGGGAAGCTTCGATAGAATCAGGCATACAGACCGAGACCACCACGGAACGTTATTGGATGGATTCACTCGTTTAGTACTTAACAGGGGAGACCTCACTAGAGAATGCCATTGAAGCAAGGAGTTTACAAAGGAATGCTCGAAGATATCTTATGCTCGATAACCATCTTTATCGAATGTCATACTCCAACAGTAGTGTGAAGCCCTACCTCCAATGTCTCCGACCGGTAAAAGCTAGTTATGTTCTAAAAGAAATTCATGAAAGGACTTGTAGGAATCATCCAAGAGCCATAATTCTTGCCCAAAATGTGATCTGCCAAGGATACTATTAGCCTACCATCTTAGCCGAGCCTTGGAGACTCGTCTCTAGATGTAAAACCTACCAAAAGTTCTCAAATGTACCATGAGCTTCAACCACTGAACTCACTCCCCTCCTAAGTCTGATTCCCTTTGCTCGGTGAGGTTTGGACTTGTTGGGACTTCTCCCAATAGCTTCAGAGCAATAAAAGTTTCTGATTATCGTTATTGACTACTTCACAAAGTGGATAGTAGTTGAACCATTGGCCAAAATTGGTGAGAGCAACACAACCAATTTTGTACAGAAATCAATAATCTACAGATTTGGAGTTCCCATCTCATTTATCACTAAAAGCAGTCCCCAATTCGACAACAGATGCTTCCGGAGTTTTTATAAGAATGGAAGATAAAACTCAAGTTCATCTCAGTGGCACGCCCAAAATGCAACAGACTCGCTGAGGACACCAACAGATGCATATTGTAAGCTTTAAAGAAGAAGGTAGACAAGGCAAAAGAATTGCCTAGAATTCTATGATCTTACCGCACCACTCACAAGAATTCCACATGAGAGACTCCTTTCAGACTAGCTAATGCAGCTAAAACAGTCGTCCCAATGGAAGTCGGCATGCCAACCATCCACTTGCAACACTTCGACGAGGACTAGAATTCGACTGGGCTCTGAGTCGAACTCAACCTTATTGATGAAGTTTGA